ATGTGTGGGTAATTTCATATTACTGTGTATAAAAATATTCGTCCACCACGTTCACATTGGTATTTTCATTCTTGTGTCGGTATACGTATTTTTATAATTTAATGCATAGGTAAGGTTAAAACTATTTACAATCATTGATATGACCCGATATTTTTACAGTCATTATCGTAGTGCTCGTGGTCGATTGGTTAATGAGCACGCTTTTATCGTCTTTCAAGGATCAATGATGTGGGTTCTATTCCAGCTAAAAGTTTATTTTATTTTACCTTGCTATTTTTCTTAATTTTTTTTTTGTTTTTTGTCATAAAATATAAATATCAGGCTATAAAATAAGCAAATGAGTCGGTAAATAAAACAATACTATTTTTTATTACAATTAATTTATTTATTATACAAATATGTTGTTTTATATTCAATATTTATATTTAATAATTAATTATATACCACATGTTAAGTTTAAAGTTCTTTAAATCACTATTTTATTTATTTAGTTAATTTTAATTACATTAAAAAATATAAATAAAAGATATTATAGGTATAAATAAATCTAAAGTATTTACTATTAAAATTAACATAAGATTTAGAACAATAGGATAGGAAAAAAAAGAAAAGATTTAATTGTTTCTAACTTCAATTTCAAATTTCAAATATTTGATAAATTAATACTAAAACAACATGTGAATGCTGGAATCGATCCGGCGGCACTTTACTTGACAATTGGAGGCGATAACCATTGCGCCAAGCGCGCTGCAGATGAAATCACCGAAATATTGTATATCATTCAGTAACATAAAATTACAATGAGAAAGCACTATAGTTATATGGGTATTGTATAGCTCGATCGTTCATTATTTTTGATTTCGATTTATTCAAAGTTCGTTATGAGTAATTTTATCTTTACCCTCGTTTTTATTTAAACTTATTGACTAAATTATTACGTATACCGACACAAAAATGATATTTAAATACCAAGATGTGTGTGATAGACGAATGTTTCTATACATATCTATTGATATGAAATTACCCACACATGTATATTGTGTAAATGATAGTTGTGTCGATGTGTAGCACCACGAACTAATTAGCGGTGCTTTGTGTACATACATGACTACGGCATAGTATAAAGAACACAGTAGGTTATCTAAGGCCGCCCGCCGAGTTATTAGCCTACTCTTGCGTTGACCCCCAGGGTTGTCACTTTTACTTTTAGTTAATATTTTCGAACAAGCAGCACTTGATCTAAATTTATGAAATGAAAAGCATATTATTATGATTGAATATTTTATCAATTTATAAATTTAGTAAAAATTAAAAGCTTATAAAAAGATTATTAACTTCTTAAAATAAACTTTAGCTCTATACATAGTATTCAGAAAGTAAATTTGGGAATACATTTATATGGAAAAATGCGACTCGGCTACGCTGTTAACAAATCAGATAAACTGTGAAATAAACAATACAATACCACATTTTCTTATAATATTTAAGTATAGTAGGTAATTACATTTCTGGTTGAGTAGGAACTATGAAGAATGATAAGAGTAAGAATAAGTAAGTAGGTATCTCATCATCAAGTACCTACAAATTATATTATGCTAGAAAAAGTGACTAGCTTACCTTTCTTGTTCAATAGGTACCTAATCTGAACAGAGACAGTTCTGGAATCGATTAATTATTAAGACACCCAAACACACAGCAATACGTTCTTCTACGATTATCAGACATTTTTTATTTCATTGAACAGTACCGAAAAGCCGTGAAGCGCGCGCGAACCTCGTACAGTGTCAGCCCTGCCTGGCGCACTGAGAAACGGGTCGAGATTTTGTTAAAGTGTGCGTGCGTCGACGCATAGATACTATGGCGCACACATATAAGCCGCGCGCGGAGCATTTGTATGAAGATAACCTACTTTGTTCTTTATACTATGACTACGGGGAATAACAAGAAAATTCTTTAGACACAAAAAATATTATTATTCATAATTTGAGCAGCCATGTTTTGTCATCTGATGACGTCACACACAATAATGATGATAGCTCACATTGTTAGAAAAACGTTTGAGCTATTGTGATGTAAAATAACAATATACAAAATGTATTGCAAAAACTGGAAATTGTAGAAAGGTGTAACTATTGCGTGTTATGTAAACTTATGATGAATATAAACAAATGTCGGTAATTTACGTTTGTAATGTCTGCAATGAGGAACGAACAACAAACATTACCTCTTTTCACTTTAGTCTTTTATTATGTTTATAATTTACGCTTCCTTAGGATGACAACTTAGTATAACATCACGTCTTTTATCCCCGAAGTGGTAGGTAGAGGTGCACATTACGGCAATTAATGGAATGTAACACCCTCTTTTCACTATTTATGTTATGAGTCCCATGTAATATGGAGTGAGCTTATTGCCATATACCGGGCAACAATTCCGGACTCTCGTGCTACTATTGAGATTTTTTAAAAAAAACCAGTAACATTTTGCTCGACCCTAGATTCGAACTCGAGACCCCCTGCCCGGCCAGTCGCACTTGCGAACAGTCAGCCATCGAGGCAATCCGTCAGCAAGTATCGAATGATTGGACTTTATAATAGGACATCTTACATCATAATCCGGATATTATGACGCCTTATCGTACCTCGATAATTCCTATTCAGATAATAATTTAATTATGTTTTGGAATTACACAACAAAATATACTTTTGAATTGCGCGTAGAGACTCCAACAATCTGGAGAAGCTTGTGGTTGTTGGTCAGGTTAACGGGAAAAGACCTCGTGGTCGCTCACCTACCCGGTGGTTGGATGCTGTACAAATCCTAACCGTCCTGACAGTTCCACAAGCCATAAAGACCGCAGAGGGCAGGGGCGTTTGGAGGAGGGTTGTCATCAAGTGACGCGTGCACCAGACTAGACACGACCTTCAGTAATGAAGAAGACGATACTTTTGAAATAAGTTTTTGTAGGACCACAAGCAAATTAGAATTATTTCTACACTATTTGCTATCCTAGTTATTGAGTTAGATTCCCAAACCAATACTGAAGTTAAATGAAAGGATAAAATGATCTGAAACCGAAATCTTTGGATCGAACTAGATTTTAAAAAAACGGACTCCAACCCACTCTTTTTTAAAGTCAAAGCATTTATGTCAAATAATGTTAATTACGCACTTTTGAAGCATCAAAAATTTAATTTTCCGTCCGTTTGTCTGTCAGTGAAGCTAGGCACTCGTTCTAAAGTGCCGGTGCCGTTAAGCCGGTTAATTAATTGTAACAAACACTATTCTAAAAACTGCATCAAAATCGGTTCAGTCAATCGCGATAACTGAGAGTCTCCTTTTTTTTGAAGTCAATTAAAAAAAATAGAATTATTACATTACATTAGAATCAAATAAATATTAGTCTAATCATACCAATAAGGATTCAATAACAATTATATCTGGAATCTAATAATCCCTAATCTCTCAATGGAATGTAGGTAATCAGTAAAGACACTGAACGAGTTATCATAAAATAATTAATTCACGTACATTTTACGTTTGTCGTAGATTTTGTTATGTTAGCGACGGCAATGAGGATTTTATTGAAACCTCTATCCAGAAGTGTGGGAGAGCCATACTTCGGCACGAATGGGCCGTCTCGACCGAAGTGATACCACGGCCGAGCAGAAAACCGACGTGAAACAACGCTTGCGTTGTGTTTCGTCGTGTGAGTGAGGTTACCGGAGGCCCAATTGCCCCCTACCCAGTCACCTCAATCCCCGAATCTCCCACAATCCTCAAATTCCCAATTCCCAAAAGGTAAGTAACTCACCTGTTTGTAATTCCAGGTGTCCATGGGCGACGTCTATTGCTTACCATCAGGTGATCCGTCTGCTCGTTTACCCATAAAAAAGACGTATGTAATGAATGGTATCTGACTGTCTGGTAAAGAATATATAAGTTCCTAAGAAAAGACAAACAGAAAGTTAGAACACATGAGATACCTGCGATAAATCTTATGATGAAAGAGAGTACAGGATTTTAGACAGAAATATGATATAACTGGAAAGCACAATCTAGTAAACTCAATACAAATCTTCCTGCTCTTATCCCAAAATCCCAAGTTACTTGGAGTCGGCACATTATCACTCAGGTGCCTAGTTATTAAAATATCTGTAACATCTATCCCAGTTAGATTACTCGAAACATTTCCTTACAACAGACATTAGCATTAAAATTGTCATTAAAAAAATGTTATCAACCTGAATGAGCTCATTGGAATACTAATTTATTCATTATTGTTTTTATCATTAAGTTCTTTTTCCGTTAATGCATATATCCAACTACATAATCAAATAGGCTGATACGCCAGAGATTTATTTGATGTAATCCGATTAATAAGAACACGTGTTTCTAAAATGATGTCATTATTGAAACACTAGCTATTCCGCGAAGTTTCACCCGCTCTGCTCAGCTCCTATTGACCACAGCGTGATGTTTTATAGCCAATAGCCTTCCTCGATAATTGACTATCCAACACAGAAATAATGATTTAAATCGTACCAGTAGTTTCGGAGATTAGCACATACAAACAAACAAACTCTTCAGCTTTATATAATAAGTATTAATAGGACCCGCAACTTCGTCTGCGTTTTACTAAAATACAAGTAGCCTTAGTATATTATATATTAGCTACCTGCCAATAAAAGTCCTAGCAAACTCGGTGCAGCCATTACAGAGATTAGCCAGTAGAAACAGACCGACAGACATAGAGACAAAAAATTTAAAAATTGTTATTTTGGTATATGTATCGTATATTCATATGCATGTAGTGAAAACGCGGTTATTTTAATATTTCAAACAGACACTTCATTTTGATTTATCTGTACTAAGTATAAGAACCAATGATTAATTGTCCTTTGACAAATAATGTTTTTATCCCACGCGAACTCGGGCGAAGCCGCGGGAAAGCTAGTAAAAAAAATTACTTAATATGTAACTTTATATATAAGACCTACCTTAGTATGAGATTCTTGAAACACGTACGGTCCCATTTCCACGACTTTGAGCTTCTCTGCCGTCCCACTTAGTATTTCGTTTACATTACTAATATTGAAGAAGAAGATCTCCAAAAACATAGGAATCGGTGTTTCCCTCCAAATGCCGAACGATACAGAATCTGGTGCTAGGATCATCATCTGAAACAAATGAAGAAAGTTAGACTGAATGCAAGTTTGGTCCTTTGTGGTCGTTTTGGTCCTTAAGTACAAAGGTCGGTACTAGACGTCGTAGCAAAATAAGAGTGGGATAAAGATCGAATTTAAGTACATATATTTATATTACACAATGTATTTAATATAGTAGGTACTCCGTAGGCAAATTCAATTCGATATGATGCCTGTTGTCAAACTTCTAGAAAATTTAAGAAGTGTTGGGATATTTTCTGTCCCTGGAAATATAACATAACGGCACTTAGGAGATGATGCGGTCTACTTCGCCCGACCCGGGAATCGAATCCGAGTCCTCTTGCTAAGCAGTCGCACTTGCGACCACTCGGCCAACAAGGCAGTTTATAATTACAATATATCCCTGGAATTATAATTATATCTTAATACTCCGTATACGAATTGAAATTAGAACTACAAACTAAATGACATAATAAGTAGTAACTAACTATTATCTAATCTGTAAACTCGGAAAAAGCCACATTCCACACATTTCGCTAACAATAAATTATTATCCGAATGACTATTGCTGCAATAAACATTTACTGCGCACAGAATAATCTTCACATAAATTAAAAAGCACATTATTTATTGATTACTAAGATTTTAAACAGGATCTAATTTTTATAATAACTATCGTGAGACATACTAAATTTACTCAAAAATCACAGCCTCTACTAGTTTAGGAAGAACCCCTCTGTGGTTCGAAACTAGTAGAGCTCTCTCAGTATTTTCACGTGAGCAACTCGCGATTTTGAGTTAAGGTTCTAGTTTCTTGGTCTTTTCATACACCACTTTATTTATGGTAGGTATCGATTATAAAGAGATAACAAAATCTATTAGGTATTTCTCCGACCCCTAACGACTGAACTATTAATAATGGATTTGGATCTCAAATCTAGACCTCAATAACTCTAGATAACTTTTTTACAGTACCTCATTTTACAGTTATTGTATTGGTATTGTAGTTCTATTGAGATTGGTTTTATAAATAAAGAGAACCGGATAAAAGGTCAAGAAGACAAATAATAAAGCGATGATGCGTCTCGTGTACACACGGCTACACATCGAGCTTTACATAACCAGTATAAACTGAACGTTAAATGTGCGGAAAGATGATGCGACGCGACACCAGGATAAACTGATTTTGTATAGATTGGTGTGTGGCCGTGTGTACCTATTTAATCATAATACTCACTCTTTGTAACTGGCTGTCGAAGATCGCTGGCCAGAAGACCACCATGATGGCGCCTGATACAACCAGCAAAGAGCCGAAGCCCAAGAAGAGGCCGCTCCTCACTCCCGCTGACTTCACACACATCTTGGTTTATGTTAATTTACCTGTGGACGTGAAAAAGTAATAAAATAAAACCTTAACCTTCAGTAATCTATAAAACAAATCGAATTATAATCCCGTTGTAATACATTGTACTCATGAATATGGGCCCCGGCGAGGCTCGAAACTAGTCGGGTTTCCTCGTCGAACAATTACAGAAGTCAAAACACCTTATTAACTAATTTAGGAAAGAAAAATAACAATTCGGTTTTGTTGTGATATCATTTGGTCTTAACATAACGTTTTTTACTCTACAAAGAGCCTAATACCAAATGTAAGACCTACTTTTTGCCAGATGTACATTTTACAGTAGGCCGCAAATCAACCTACACTCTTCTGTCAAATTCAATTATTAGATTTTCAACTCTATCGTTGTGGCCCGGAGGTTAAGACACCCGCTTCTCATGCATGAGGGTGCAGGTTCGAAACCTACCAATTGCAAGTACCAATGTGACTTTTTCCGAGTTATATGTACTTTCTAAGATTATTCAGACACCACTGACAAACGGTCGGAACACGGAAAACATCGTGAGGAAACCTGGACTTATAATTTCTAATTATTAGTTTGAAATCGCCAACCCGCATTGAGTAAGCGTGGTGATTAATGCTCAAACCTTCTCCGTGTGAGAAGAGGCTTTGCTCAGCAGTGGGCACTTATAGGCTGTTGATGATGATGGTGAACTCTATCGTTTTGGAATAAAGTCGAAAATCGAATGACAAATATCGATGGAGTAGGTTTATGTGCTGGCCACTGTATGTGCTACTTATTGATGACCTTGATTTGAATGTATCAAGAGAACTCTTCATGTTATGTTATCCTACCGAAATTGCATAATGAGATTGCATTCATTAAAAATAAAAATTGATACGCATTTGATTAACGATTTATTGACGGTAATAAAAATACAAGCAATGCAACAATAGCGCCTTAATGGATTATTATTCTATTACCAAATAAAATGGATTTTTTTGGATTTATTGACACGTAAAATCCTACGTTAATGTAGTTATATCTTGCTCGAATAATTTTAATAGTAAGAATAAGACCATGGAGTTTCTTATTTTGACCTCTATGTATGTTTGTGCGCATTTAACTCGCGATTAGCTGAACCGATTTTCAGAAAAGTATTTGTTACACTTAGGAAAAGGTTTTAGTTTTAATATTAATTAACCGACTTCAAAAAAGGGGATTGGATGTCGTTTTTTTAAAAGAATTATTTATTGTAGAGTTGTCATATTGTACAGCATAAAGCAAAATTTCCTGCCCATCATATGCCCTTCTTCTTAACAATATAGGCTTCGGAACGAGTCGCGGAGAACCTAACGGGTTACCGGGGCTCCGGCTCGACGTGCAGGAGAAGGAACGGGGTGGTTTTTAGTCAGTAAGAGTCTGATACTACCTCCCGCCTCACCCAGGCGGGAGCAGTCATTCGATGATTTTCCCCCTTAAAGAAAAAGGCGAGCGATTAGTGAGTTAGAACTAATTTGTTAAGAAGTTAGAGGGCATGTCATTTAACTAAAGCAAAACGTCTGTCTCACTTAGGTCCATATTTAAACATTATCGGTTATCTTTATCCACCTATGACAAGAAATATGACGACATTTAGTACTAACTAAACATAATAGTTCGTTATATTAACAACATTAATATCTCGGTATCAGATACTAGACTGTGATAAGAATTATTTACAGACAAATTGTTCCGCAGATCATTCTAGAAACTCTTGGTGAAGGAACCGCAGTTTTACCGTCTTTTTTTTATGGCCGGTCAACAACGGATCACGTGATGGTAAGCAATCGACGTTGGCCATAGACACCCGGGTACAACAGAGGCGTTACAAGTGCGCTTCCTGGCTTTTGAATTCAGGGATTTTTTAAGGAATAGGAGGCTAACGAGCAGACGGGTCATCTGATGGATGCAACACCAGAGGAGTCACAGGTTTGGGGAATTGAGCCTCAATTATCCTCACTCACATGACGAAACACAACGCAAGCGTTGCTTCACGTCGGTTTTTTGTGAGGCCGTGGTATCACTCCTGTCGAGCCGGCCCGTTCGTGCGGAAGCATGGCGTTCCACACTTGAAATTTAATAAAGATCTAGATTAGTAGTTATTGTATGTAAATTTACCTTTATCACGTTTAAAGCCTAATCAGTTTTAATTTGATGATTCAAATCCGTCCTTTGTACCTGCTTACCTAACGTCCATCAATTGATGAGTGATACGTAGTTACCGACAAATTTCGCAATGAATTCTTGTAAGTAGGACTATCAGATATCCGTCTGATTCGGTCATACCATTTACATTTTTTTTTTATAGCATGAGCCGGTAAACGAGTAGACGGATCACCTGATGGTAAGCAATCGGCGCCGCCCATGGACACTCGAAACACCAAGGCGTTACAAGTGCGTTACCAGCCTTTTGGGAATTGAGAATTTGAGGATTGTGGAGGATTCGGGGATTGAGGAGACAGGGACTAGGGAGGGGGGTATTGGGCCTCCGGTAACCTCACTCACACGACGAAACACAACGCAAGCGTTGTTTCACGTCGGTTTTCTGTGAGGCCGTGGTATCACTCCGGTCGAGCCAGCCCATTCGAGCCAAAGCACGGCTCTCCCACACTTAAAAAGAATTTCATACATATAATAAAAATTTCTTTACTTTACTTTACTAAACATAAACACTAATAGTGTTTAGGTAAAGAAATTCGTACTGATAAAACTTCATCATCAACAGCCTGTTTTCGTCCACTGCTGGACATAAGCCTCTCCAATGACGCGCCACTGAGCTCGGTCTTCAGCTCTACGCATCCAACCACTACCAGCCACTTTACGTATGTCGTCGCTCCACCTAGCTGAAGGGCGCCATACACTACGTTTGCCTGATAAAACTTATATTTACAAATTAGGATCTATTTTTTGGGATTTCAAGAAGCGATTATAATCTAAGCTACGGCACTTTGTATGATATGACACTCCTCGAGTTCGAGGAGTATGAAAGAAGCTCAGGGTTTAGTTGAGGTAGAGCACCAAGGAATAGTTTTAGACCAGTTTTAGTGGCTTTGGCTAATAAATTGCAAATATATTTCAGTTCATCATGATCAACCCGGGGACAGGGGACATTGTTGGACATGTAGCATGCCGTTGTCAGTTTTTCTCATACAAGCAATGGGAACTCCGGTTGGCGGTAATGCAGAAAAAGATTTTGTTTCAAATATTCAACGTCCAATGGCGTGATATGTCGTGGTGGCGGGAGGTTTAAGACGCCCGCCTCTCATGCATGAGAGTGAGGGTTCGAAACCTACCAACGACAAGTACCAATGTGACTTTTTCCGAGTTACATATACTTACACATGTACTTTCTAAGATTATCTAGACACCACTGACAAACGGTAAAGGAGAATATCATGAGGAAACCTGAGCTTATAATTTCTAATTATAAGTTTGAAATCGCCAACCCGCAGTGAGCAAGCCTTCTCGGTGTGAGAAGAGGCTTTGCTCAGCAGTGGGCACTTATAAGCTGTTGATGATGATCATGAATGGCGTGATATTAGCTTATTCCCTAATGGACGAAGAACACGAGATTCACACTAGCGACATCTGGTGATTTTATGTTTATCACCGGCCGTACCCAACAGATACGGATCAGGGAGACGGAATCTCTTACATACAGAATGCATATTTGATTGATAATCTCAATTGTGTTTAACAGCAATGTAAAAGGATTATAATAATATATCAATATCCACTTCAGTCATCACTCATCTCTAGTGTGTGTCGAGTATCGATGTTTCAAGAGATTTTATCGATAACTACCTACATGACCTATTTTTTATATTGAAGATAGCAAAAAATGGCACCTGTTGGCAATATCCAAGATAATACTAACTACCCTGACTGCCTCATTGGCCGAGTGGGCAGCATTCCGCGACCCGCGACGCGACGACTGTCATGTCAGTATCAACGCGACAGTCGGCTGATGAGCCCCAAGTATGGCTTGAAACTAGTCGCATACGTCATCAAAATTACGTGAGTAACTAGGCCGAAAAACATAATAAGTAATTAATGATTGAATTAAAATTATATTTAAATTAAAAAAAAACTGCCTCGTTGGCCGAGAGGTCGCGAGTGCGACTGCCGGGCAAGGGGTCTCGGGTTCGATTCCCAGGTCGAGCAAAGTATTACTGTGTTTTTAAAAAAAATCTCAGTAGTAGGACGGAGCCTGGAATTGTGCCCGGTATATGGCAATAGACTCATCCCCTATTACATACATGGGACTCATGACATAAATAGTGAAAAGTGGGTGTTACATTGTACAGAGGCATAATGTGCACTTCTGCCTACCCCTTCGGGGATAAAAAGTTATTTTTAAATAAGTTTTTATCAAAGGTTTACTCAACGACGATAATATAAGGATAAAATGGTAGGTATCTTTTTATCATTTGACTAAATTTGATTTAGACTTACTAAGGATTAAAATATTTACTAAGATAACAATAGTTATATCTATGAAGCTGTATAACTAGTGGAAAAGATTGGGGAATTGGATTAAAAATCAATTAGTTATAATAACATAGGATTTTACTATTTAATCTATTTATCTATCTATGATTTAATTATATATCTAAACTAAAGTAGGTGGTCTAGGTTACAGTGTTTTCAGTAAAATTACTTTATTTAGGTATTAAGTTTTTGATTTTCAACTCTATCATTTAGATATAAGTAAAGTCGAAAATGTAATGAGAAAAATTTACACATTGGCACAGGTTGATGTACCGGCCACTACTTACACTAAATTGCGAAAGTGTTTGTATCTACCTATTTGACTAATTTAAATTAACTTTGAATTACTTTTATTTAATACTATACTGATTTATTGATGAAAATTGATTTAACAAAACACAAATAGGTAGTTAATAATACAAATAAATAAAAAAATACTTCGTACCACCTAATAAACCTGCAGTAATTTGTCACTAATTAATCTTAAATTCTTGTTAAGTAAATATGGAAGAATATAAATCAACAAACACTAAAAGTCATCTTCAACTATTTAAGAATTATCTATTTATCGTCAAGACTGCCTCATTGGCCGAGTGGTTGCAATTTTCTCTATTTGAATTTGAATTCAGAACAATAAACATTAGTCTAATAAATTAATGGCTTTTGTCAACCAAACAAAGGCACTAATCATCACAAATAATGTTACATGATGTCACCCTCAACAGAAATAAAAAATATTTTAAACATTTATCAAAGCATTTGGCCTAGACATAATTAATATTAGCAAGTTTATGATTTATTTTGTATTATTTAAAGCTTATTAGATAGAAATTGTAAACAAACGAAGCATGTAGGTCGTTAAGATAAAAAACATAATGGTGTCATAGATGATAAAACGACACCTAAATAAAAAATTAAAATGGTGTTGGTTCAATTTTGCACTCTTCACTAATTGTTATAAGATTCAATGTTAAAAATCAATTTACTTAATACTTTTTAAGAGATTCGAAATTTGAAATAGTTATCTGCAGATGACTAGACTACTTGTTTAGACACGTAAAGTAAGAATTTAAATAAAGAAATCGTTTTATTAAAAAAAACGAGTCAACTTGATAAAGAAACAAAAGATAGTAAATAATTATAAGGTGGCGTTTCCGATATAAATAAAATGACAACGGTAATTCGAGGAATTAGGTACTCTGAACTATCATTATTACGACTCAAGTCATATGACTTAGCTAGGCGTAATTTAATAAAACAAATTAGTATACTTACGTTTTACAGCATAAATAAATTAAGAATCTAAACAACTTTGTTCACCCACGTTTTATACACTTTTCATTTGCTATTTGGCACTTAAAATCAATCTAAATCACATGCACTGCTTATTAACATTTTCGCTTACTTTTCTAAACAACACTATTTAGATTATTTTAGTAAAAACGTAAATAATATTTGAAATAAACTTCACGTGTTTTCACTGTAAAGTCTATTCGGAGAATAAAAATATACTTGTAATAACTGTCAACGTCAAAGTCAAAATAATTCGGAGTGACATTTGCAGTGTTACTAGCATAAAGTTTATTTTCTACTAATGATATATAATAATAATGATATCAATTAAATATTACGATGCATATCAATCAAGCTTAATTAGCTTGATTGATTAAAATTTTAGGGTTATTAACAGATCCATTCCACTGACTCGTAATTCTCCAGGTACTCAAAACGATTTGATAGCTCGATTTGAAAGCCCTCCGGACAACCGATACGTGCATTTTTTTGAAGGTTGCAGCATGGACTTCATCAGACAGGATCTTTCCAACTTCACATTAATATTCAATGTGCCTCTCGGTGCCAGTCGGTGATCGCTACTGGTTCTTACCTTATGGATCATTCAATATCTGTCGCTTTGTGATCATGATGAAGTCGATCTCATTTTTGGTGGAACCGTCCGGGCTCATAGGTCCTCCTTCTCCAGGAATTCAGCCAGCCTCTGTCCCCTATGGTTCCGTTGCCCATATCCAAATTGCCCCACTCTCAACTCTCACTATCATTGGACAATTTATGAATATTTATATGGATCGTTATAGAGCCTACTCCAAAGAGATAATAAGTATAGGAGTAGCCTACTCTATTTCATTGGGACTTAGTGTATCAACGTGGTACCTGCTATATTGGCGCGGCTGTGGTCTTTTAACTAAACCTTCGGCACGGTGTGCTCTTAGCACACGACCTTACGAGCAGTGAGACATACCAAACGACAAAAATAATTTGGTCATGTCATGTCATTCACGCCATTGGTTTAGGCATGACAGGAAGGGAGAGATATCTCTGCAGTCCTTTGGTGGCAGAGTGAAATGACCAATGAGTTGAGTGACTAGCAACATCTTGGTTGCGCCTAAGTGAAAGAAATCAGTTTTACTAATGTGTTAGGTACTAAAACAACATTTAAATAAAACAAATACATGCCTACATATTTCTTTATTATTGAATAAATTACAAAAATGCTATTAATGTAAAATTCCATTCAGGCAGTATATCTGCATAATAGATATTCCTCAAATTAAGTAGGTACGCTAAATAAAACCTAAAACCGAAAAGTTTAAACTGCATTAAACTTACTGAAAAGCATACTTTGGAATGGTCCACAAGCCTACAATTTGAGACAAGCATTACATGTAAACTGAGTAAAATCACAGTAAAAAAGCGATGACTTTTAAATACCTAATTAAGTTTCATTCAACATTTGGTAGGCGAAAATCCATTTCAAAACTCGATCTCCATGTTAAAGTATCCGAGATGGCGAGACTCTGAATGTATACCCGAATCGATTAAAAAAACCGTATCCTGTGCTGGATATAAAGTTTATTTAATCGTTTTGCTAAATGCAAATTCTCCTACCCGTGTACAAATAAAATAATCTGAGAAATGTTGCCAGCAACAAAATATTTGCTGAAACTATTTCATCATAAGTTTTTCTAATCGATTCGAATACTAATTAATATAAACCTAATCTCTAGACAAGGTGTCCGTAAACTAATGTATAGCGATGAGGCCGGATTCTAGAAGCTTCTGAATCTTAGCGGCAATGTCTGGGTTCTTGAGATGGTCCTGTAAGGCGTGGGGATCTTGTTGCATCTGTTCGAGGATGCAGCGCATGGCTGGGTCGCGGAGGATTTGTTGCACTTCTGGGTCTGCCATTGCGCGTTTGCGCACCTGTAAGAGGAAAGATCGTTAGATTATTTCCTGTAAATATTAATTTACAGATCTGAAGATGGACTTCAGTGGCGTGATACTGTCGTACGCGAATCTATATCTAACACTGAAAAATTACGACATAGTTTACCACATCTTTGAAAAAAAAAACGATTTGGGGTTCATGCTACCTTAAATCGATACTAGATAGCGCCTATTTAGTTAAGAGGTGAGAAAATTAATCTATAAATTGTGAATTATCTTACCTCCTCAGGATTGGAGTTCAGTTGAGTAGAGCAGGCACGGTAGCCCTCCAGGGCCTCAGCATTGCTTGGGTCTAGCTCGAGGGCCTTCTGGTATGCGGTTAAAGCTTTGGAGTGCTGTTGCATGCCCTAGAAAGAGAAAGATATATTTTGTAGACTAAAGTAAGGTTTTCAAGGAGTTTTCAATATAAAAACCTATTAGATTGCATCAAATTAATTGATTTCTTACTATCAAAAAGTACCTCTTAAAGAACTTTAAACTGTCAAACACCAAGCGGTCACCGGTGACCGCGACCTATTGTTCTTTAATTGTGTCTATAAAACCGGTACTCGACGAGTTAATGGTAAGCCAAAATAAAGTACTAATTTATATACTGAAGTACCTACATATATAAATTATCATACTGTAACTTCTATGCAACTGCCAAATCTGTAAATGTTCGAAAAAACTAGTCAGTCCTTACCTGAAGGATCTTTCCCTTCCGGATCCATCCCTTGATAAACTTAGGGTCCAGTTTGCAGCACTGGTCGCAGTCTTTAAGACCGAGGTCGAAAGCGGCCAGCTTCGTGTAGCAGGCGGCACGGTTGGAGTACAGCTTCGGGTCATCAGGGTTACGCTTGATGGCTTCAGTGTAATGCTTTACGGCGGTACTGTAGTCTCCTGATGATGATAGCGGAATAAGTTATACATGGGGTACTCGACAAGAATCAACAGATTTATCTTTTATTTACAAAGATTTCTTTTTTGTTTTTTAAAAACGTTGCCCCACACTAGGATTTTCTCCTGTGTCGTGGGTGCGTTTACAAACATACAATATCACATACACATGACACCCAGACCCGGAACAACAATCTGTGGATCACAACAAGAATTGTTCCGTGCGGAAATCGAACCCGCGACACGTTGCGCGGCAGCCAGTTGCCCAGCCACCGCGCCAACCGTGCAGTCATAATGTAAGAATCGCCAAGTGCTTCGTATTTGCTAAGTAGTAAGCATGTCCATAATACCCACATGTGACTATTTGCAAATGTTCGTTATTTAAAGCGGAGAAAAATGCCGACAATAACGCGAGTGAGGAGTGACGAACACCCATTTCCATTTAACGTAGAAAAATTCAATAAGTTTGAAGTCCCTGATATTGTTGCTGAATTATTGAATCTTGATGCTGAAATGAGAACATAATTTTGTAACTATTTACCCTTCTTAAAGAAATCGTTGCCAAGCTCCTTTTCCTGCTCGGCCTTCACTGGGTCGATGTAGGCCTTCTTCTCCTCCTCGACTATCCGTCTCTCGACCTCACTCAGCAACGTCTTGATCTCAGGAGTACGGTGCTCAGACATGGACTTCTCAAAGTAAGTCTTGGCTAACTTCCATTGTTCCATCTTCTTGTATGCATTGCCTGGTTAGAAGGATAAATATAAGAAATGTGTGAATTTCTATAGAACATACATATAATAAGTTATTAAGTAAACAGGTAATAGTGGTTGTGGGTATGAGAGAAGCTCAAGTTGATTTCCAAAACAAAGATTTAATACTTTAAGGGTCAATTTTCCAATGCCAGATAAATTTAACTCAGGAATAACTTTGAACATTTAACAATTGTGAACGCAAATACAACCTAAAACTCTGACCAGTCACTAAAGAACGAATAGTAGCTTCCCCTAAATTGTTAGCAACTTAACTGTGATTCCTAAGCAAATCCAATAAGCATATCGCCATTAAACATTTTGATTAAAAACTTAAAGAAAAAGATCCTAATCACTACATAAATTTAATCTTTTTTAAAATAAAAAACAAGATGGACCATTTTGGCAACATGTTTGTTGATTTACGCAAAACCAATACCACTGAATAAACAATTTTATCGAAATATTCTATTAAATATTTTGGCTTATAGCCAGGAACCACATCATCATGATCCTAGGGATATTTATTAAATTATTGGCTCAATTGACCTAGTTATTTACCAATAAGATAAAGAGAAATACCTGACGCATCTTTTCCATTTTAGTAAGACAGGGATTTACTGTGAGTCAACTTTTTATATAGTCAATTAAAGTGAAGATTGTCCCCAACATTATAAGCATTCAGGTTTATCAGATGTTGGGGTGCTTATTAATAAATTATGTAATCACACTAACATTATGTTTGTAATATTTCATGTTTGCAAATGAATGCAATGAAAAAGAAACTACTGAATGGATTTTGATAGTTTTTATCCCGATTAAATGTTCCCATGGGATAAAACAGGAATACGGGTAAGGCCGCAGTTAAAAGCTACTGTAAAAATAAAACTAAATTAGCGCTTTTATAATATGGCATAACTAACTGAGTTAGTTATGCCATATTATAAATACTGAAATGCTACTCAACTTTAACTTGTTCATCTCTGTCATTTTACAAAAAAATTTTAGAGACATAATTAGGTACTCTTGAGAGTCTCTTAAAATGAAGTGACGTTTGAGTATATGAACATGAGACGTGTAGTATCAATCGGCAATCATTTGTGTACATTTTAGCTTAACCCTAGAGACCTACTGACTAGTATTGACCCTATTGTTAATAGATAAGTAGGCGCCGATAGTTATAATATGCGGTTCAAAACATAATAGTGTAATAATTAACTTATTTATATTAATATTAATATCACGAAGTGTCACTAATTTATTATTAGCTAACCAAATACTTCACTACATAGTATAAAACAAAGTCGCTATCCGCCGTCTGTCTGTCCCTATGTATGCTTAGATCTTTAAAACTACGCAAAGGATTTTGATGCAGTTTTTTTTAATAGATAGAATGATTCATAATTTCTTAAAGAATCACTTAAGAAATCAAGAATCATTCAGGTTTATATGTATAATACATGCATATTGCATCCGTGCGAAGCCGCTGAAGTTAAAAATTAATTAAAAACACTTGGATACACAAAATAAATAATTTCTGGTAACAGCATTTCCGTAGGTCCTGATTATTTTCGGTTGGACATTTAAAACTTTTATCCAGGAAGAAACCTAATTTGAATTTTGTAATATTGACCTAATTTTGGCAGCCGACCGTTCTTATTTTGTGTGTAAATGGCACAGAACAGTTTTAAATACAATGTAAACAGAATTATAATTCATTAAAAGAAGCCATGTCATTACTAACTGGAAACGAAACCAGTCGTCTTACGTTTTGATTGTGAACTTCCGATAGTTAGCTATCAAGAAACATTTTGAAACGTTTAGAACACTCTTAGCGATTTGGAATATCTAGCAGGGATAAAGGCTTAGAACGCATTATCACCAGTTATTATGATAAATGTGTATGCCGCGTACCGAAAGCTAAAAATCGATAAACCTACATGCAATACTATTTAACAATTGACCCTTCTGTATTACAACTCCAGACGTCCATTGTTCACACTTTTTACTTCTATTTCCCTAACAATAAGAGCGAAAACCGTTAACCACACGCACGCAACCACAATAATAGAAAACCCACAATTCTCGGAAATAAAATAAGCGATTCTGACCCCAATTAACATTTTCCATGGCTATATCAACTTGCATAAAGTAAGTATGTACTGAATGAAGTCTATTTATAGTAATAAATAACGAATAAAAATATTGATACACTGTTTTGACTTATTAATCTAAGGACATTGAACTTGTACTAGATATGGCCGACGCCTATTGATAGTAGATGAAGGGGCATTACTAGTCTTAACTATTCTCATGTGTAGGGTAACGCTACCATTTATTTTTTAATTCAAAACGGAAGGAACATTCGTTTATTAAGACTCAGTCAGGCATTTAGTACCTAGATTCTATTATAGAACTTGTAAACATAAACTTTGTGCCCACAACAAAAAGGGTAACATTACTAACTACATAAAAATGTAAAGAATTTAAAGATTTTTGTACTGTATTTCATCAACAATTAGCGAGCTATGTTATGTATGACGCTGTATCGCTTTCGCACACCACTCGAGTCCTCCGTTTGGTCGTCGCGAAGGTTTGACTATTAAAATTTTCGCGTAATTTCCGAATACGAGTCAATTTTGTGTCCGAGAGTTCATTTCGGGGACAACAGGACTCGTAATTATATAGAAACAGTCCCGTTCATAAAGGGACGTCTGGTGACATTAGGTAAGGGGCAATTGAACAAAGTAATCACCTGATGGTAAGCAAATCGCGCCGCCCTTGATCACCTGAATACCAGAGTAATAAAACGCTATGCTGGTTTGCAATCAACTGAACTATATTTGAATATAATTGAACACATTTGAACATTACTCAGCCGTTCATCCGGTCTGTTCATTCTAATGTTATTAAGTTAACATAAGCGACACTAGATGGCATTAGCAGTAACTATAATGATTGATTATTTTGTTATATCTATTTTACATCCTGACCTAACAAAATAATCCAAAATCCCAAAAAATAATAATATTAAGACAGTAATCACAATAAACAAGTTTTCATGACACATGTACATACACTATACTTTTGAAACACCCATTAAACTAAGAAATTTATAATGTTTTTCTTTACATAAACTCTTAGTGAATATATCTGCTGGCATACTATTTGTTGATACATATTCAATTTTAACTTTATTATCAAATACACATTCCCTAACAAAGTGGTGTCTTATATCAATATGTTTGGTACGTTTATTATGGAATAAAGGATTACAAGCTATTTTAATAGAACTCTGGTTATCACTAAATAAACATAATGGTATATTGGTACACTGGACAAGCTCATTTAACAAATTCTTTAAATAAATGCCCTCTTTACATGATTCTGACAAGGCCATGTACTCGGCTTCAGTGCTGGATAGTGCTACTGTCTTCTGTTTTCTAGATTCATATGAAACTACAGAACCCGACTTAATAAAACAATATCCAGTGTATGACTCCTGTCCAAAGAACAGCCCAATCAGCATCCACAAAGCCGTGCAAATGATGACTGGTCTTCTTATATACCAAACCATAGTCTTTAGTACCCTTTAAATATCTTAATAAACGTTTTAAATGTTTCCAATGTGTCTCATTGAAGCAGTTATTATATTGGCTTAAGAAGCTTACACTGAATGTAATATCAGGTCTGGTTAATACAGATAAGTACATCAAACTCCCTATTAATTGTTGGTATGGGTATTTCCTATCTGGATTGCTGTTTACATCTTTATCCAACTTTAAATTAATTTCCATAGGCGTATCACTACATAAACAATCTGACATATTAAATCTGTTCAGTATAATCTCTATAAATTGTTTCTGGTCTACAGTAATATGGTCTTTATAAACATTTATATTCATGCCCAAACAATTTTTCATTTGACCCAAATCCTTAATTCTAAACTTATTAACTAATTCACTAATTAGTTCCTCATATGCAGTTTTACTGTCATAGAATACAAAGAAATCATCCACGAATAAAGCAATGTAAACTTTACTATTTTCAACATTTTTTACAAACAAACATGGTTCATACCTAGACTTTTTATAACCTAATTTCAACAAACAATCCTCAACTCTATTATACCAGGCGAGAGCTGACTGCTTGAGGCCATAAATTGCTCTCTTGAGCTTCAATACTTTATTATTACAATTTTTAAAGTCTGAACATTCTGGTACTTCCATATATATGTTTTCATCTAGTACACCATTAAGAAAAGCGGTTGGAACATCAAGATGATTCATGTTTAAATCTAATTGAACACTCAAAGCAAGTAACAATCTAAATGTAGAAAATCTAAGAACTGGTGAGAAAGTATCATTATAGTCTATACCCTTTTTCTGCGTGAAACCTTTGGCCACCAGCCTGGCCCTGTACCGCACTTCACCATCACTGTTCAACTTTCTTTTAAATACCCACTTGTTTTTAACCACTGTTTTGTCTTTTGGCCTAATCCACCAAGTGTCATTTTCACGAAAAGATTTCAGTTCATCTTTTATTGCGTTTTGCCACTGTTCACTTTCAGCACTATTTAACACTCACATGGTAAGCTGTCCATCTAACATTTCCGCGCACATATTTGCAATACCGTAATAGTCTGGTTTGCGTCTCGTACGTTTTTCAGGCACATTATTATGAACCTGCAGTGCTAGCCAAATGCCATTTAGCGCTTGTCTACATGTAGAGTAGAAAACTAAATTATATGGAATTGACGTAAAATTTGACACTTGTCAGTGTCATCCCCATACATTTTGATATCTACTCTCACTGTAGACAAGCGCTAAAGTGGCATTTGGCTAGAGGCCCTGAGTAGACAGATCCTTGTCTTCTGGTGACAATGACAAGTAACTATCATCAGTGTCACTTGATGAATCATTTGGAATGAATGTTTCATCCTTCTGGCTTGCACTGATATCTTGTTCTTCACTCACAGGAACTTCTTCCTCTT